GCTGTTAGGGACCTCTACAAAGTATTGAAGAGCAATGGTGTCTCTCTGGAGACTAAGGTGCATCTGACAGGCCATGGTCTTTGCTATCACTTGTTATGCAAGAGATTTGGACAGTGACTAAGGAGGATTGAAGGAGAATTGATGCCTTTGAGCTGTGGTGCTGGAGAAGAATACTGGGAGTACCATGGACTGCTTGGAAAACAAACAGATTCAGCCTGGAAAAGGGTTAAGCCAGGAGGCTCCTTGGAGGCAAGGATTCTGAGGCTCCCTCTAACATACTTTGGACAAGTTTTAAGGAGGGGACCTGTCCTTGGAGAGGGACATCATGGTTGGCAGGGTGGAGGAACAGCGCAGGAAGAGAAGGCCCTCTATGAGGTGGATTGATTCAGTGACTGGGGTAATCGGGATGGGTGTGTTAGAGACAGTGCACATGGCACAGGACAGAGGAGAGTTTAGGGCTGTTGTACACAGGGTTGCTATGAGTCGCAAGCAACTCAACAGCACATAACAACAACATAACATAATGATCCCTAAGTGTATAGTCTTAAATCAAGTTTTAGCATATGTACTAACTCTTTCTTTGGTGGTACTTCCAAATCTTCACTGTAATAAACTTTTTTAAAAGCACCAAAAACTCACTGCCATCAAGTCAAAAATTACTCACAGCTGACTTTTTAGCAGGTTTCTGGAGGTGGTAAATTGCACAGGATGAGATAGCTTTCTCCAGCAGAGTGGCTAGTGGATTTGAAATACCAAGGAAGGTTAGCAGTGCAACTCCCTGAAGACTACACTACCTGAGCTCCCTCACTGTAATAAAGCTAAATGAAATTAACATGGTTCTTCACTTATTCAACAAGTATGTTAGTATGCTGCACACAAGCAACAAATATTTTGATGAATCTACTTCGGATCCTGATGTCACATTTCTCCTCAGAGCCCAGCCTCCCAGATAATCTGTTCTGCATATATGTTGAAAAGATAAGGAGATAGGACACATCCTTGGTGCACACCTTTCTCAATTTGGAACCATGAACTATTTCCTTGCTCTGTTCAGATGATTGCCTCTCGGTCCAAGAACAGGCTTCACATAACACAATCAAGTGTTCTGGGATTCCCATTCTTCTCAGGGTCAGCTACAGTTTATTGTGATCTACACAAATGCCTTTGAATAGTCAATGAAACAGACAGACAGACATTCCTCTGGTACTCTCTGCTTTCAGTTAAGATCTATGAGACATTAGCTTTACTATCCCTAGTACCACGGCCTCTTCTAAACCCAGCCCGCACATCAGGCAGTTCTCTGTAGATGTGCTGTGCCAGTCGTTTTTGGATAATCTTTAGCAGAATCTTGCTTGCATGTAATATCAATGATACCATTCAATAATTACACATTCTGTCAGATCACCCTTCTTTGGAATGGGAACAAATATAGATCTCTTCCAGTCAGTTAGCCAGGTGGCTATCCTCCAGGTTTCTTGGCACAACTTGGTGAACACATCCAGGGCAGTGTCTGTTTGTTGAAATATGTCCAACTGGTATGCCATATTCCTCAGGCCTTGTTTTTAGCCAGTTCTTTCAGAGCAGCTTGAACTTCTTCCTTCATCACCACAAGCTCTTGCTCATACATTGTTTCATGAAATTCTTTTGTGTCCGCCAATTCCTTTTGGTACAATGACTCTGTATACTCTTTGTATCTTCTTTTAATGCTTCCTAGATCATTCAATATTCTGCCCAAAGCATCCTTAAGTATTGCAGCTCAAGGTTTGAATTTGTTCTTCAGTTTAAGAAATGTTGAGTGAAATATCTCAGTAACAAAAGGACAAATCCTGCATAGTGCCATTGTTGTAAAGCGGAACTGACATCAGAGTTGGGGAGAATCTAAAAGGGGATAAATAATATATATTGTATTGAAATAAATGAGGGAGAGAACTGTTTAGGAATAATATACAATATTATTGTTATGACAAGAATCCATAATGAAAGCTACATAGTGGTATGGACTGGAAGGGGGGATTGTATAACAATGAAAGAATATTTTTTTTTTACTTTTTAAAGAGAAAAGCGAACTGGAAGGGGGGACAGGGAGAAAAATGTGCAACAACAAATGAATGGAAATAAACGAAAACTAAAAGTTTTTTTTTTAAAAAAAAAAGAAATGCTGAGCGAGTTTGGCCCTTTTGATTTTCTGACTCCAGCTCCTTGCACTTAGTTTAAAAAACAAACAAAAAACCACAAAAACCCTTCACCAAAGAAGACATTCAGATGGCAACAAGGACATGAAGAAATGTTCAAAATCCCTAGCTCTATAGAGATGCAAATCAAAACAGCTACGAGATATCATCTCACCCCAGTAAGAATAGCAAAATTTAGCAGAACAGCAAACATTAAACGCTGGCGAGGTTGTGGAGAAACTGGAACCCTTATTCCCTGTTCATGGGAGTGTAAATGGTGCAACCACTATGGAAGGCTGTATGGTGCTTTCTACTACTGAGAATTTACCCTAAAGAAATCAGAGCTGCCACCCAAGCAGATATATGCACACCCATGTTTATTGCGGCTTTGTTCCCAATGGCAAAGAGCTGAAACAACCCAAATGCCTATCAACAATCGAATGGAGAAGCTATGGTATATAGTCACACACTGGAATACTATGCAGCATTGAAAAACAAGGAACTCATGAAATATTAAGTAAAATGGATGACTCTGGAGGACATTATGCTGAGTAAAATATCTCAGTCACAAAAGGAAAAATAATGCGCAGGGCCACTGTTGTAAAATGGGAGTGATATAAGAGTCGAGGGAAGACAGAAAAGGAGGGGAGAAATGATGTATATTGCCTTGAAACAGACGAGGGAGAGAACAGTTTAAAAGGGATATATGAATGGGTATTTTTGTCATTACAGAAGTCCAGGGTGAAGGCTACATAGTGGAGCGGACTTGGGAGGGGAGGGATTGTATAACAATGAAAGAGTTTTTCTTTCTTTTCAAGGAGAAGAGTGAACTGGGGGGGAGGAGGTGGGTAGGGAGAAAGGTGCAACAATGAATGATTGGAAACCCTAAGTCTCTATAAACTTTCATTAATGTTCATTTTTAAAAATTTGCCTTAAGTATTATATTCTTTCTTAAAAAAATATTAGTTTGCATACAGAATTCCTATATATTGTTTCATTCACTTACATTTTGTTTCATACATTTCTTCATTCACATTGTTTGCTCATTCCCATATACTGGTTTATAAAACTAATTACCATTGATCTATGGCCACTATCACCCTGTTTTTTCAGGTCCCCACTAGACCTCTCCTAAATCCTTTACCTCCTCCCTCTGCCCACCAGACTCTGAGACTCCATGATTTTTCCCCCTCCCCACCTTCTTCTTTCCCCTTTTAACTTTTATATATATCTTACTAGATATTCTTTTATTTTAACAAAAAGTCTTATGCAATATTTGTCTTTATGAGACTGAGTTCACTCAGCATAATGCTTTCTTATGTTATATATTAATATTATACTCTGTTAAGAGCTATCTATATGACATCAAATTGACAACAGCAACTTTAAAAATTAGATAAGAAATTTAGGGAACAGAAGTTTATGTTACTGAAGGAGGAACAACCCAGAAAATGAGGGTGAGAATATTGTACAATTCAAAAATTTTCAGTAAACAATATGACTACATTTGAACTGTTGAACTGGTATGTTTTGTTTACACATTCTCAACAACAACAAGAAAAAGTAGTGGAAGGAAAAAAGTATTGTACCTCCTAAGTCCAAAGGAAAAAACCACATGTCATAGAGATAACTGCTAAGCTGAGGTATTAAAAACCTCAACTTCAATACATTAGTTGGGAATATTTCATTTAATTACTCTAGTCATAAAAGTTTATTAATTTGTTTTTCAATCCAAATTCCCCATTGTGCCAAATACTAAACTCACTCTTACTATGTATAAATGTATAGCCCTTTTGTTGTTAGGTATCATCAAGTCAGAAATGACTCATCGTTGATCCTTCAGCAGGTTTTCAGAGGCAATAAATTGCACAGTAGGAGATATTTCATATTTCTCCCTCAGAGCAGCTGATGAATCCAAACTGCATGCCTCTGGGCTGGCAGCACAACTCCTTACCACTAAGCCACCAGAGCTACCTAATTCTCAGTAACACAATTCACACTATCATAAATCGCTATTGCTTCTACCATACTTATATATTATAGTTCTCCTTTTATTCAATTAACAGTGAAAACAATATGCTCAATTTTGTTAGATTTTTTTTGCTTGCTCACATTTCATTTCTTTTAGGTATGTTCTAATTCCCATCCAGTGCTATCAACCAGAAGTTAAATATTTATCAAGCACCTACCATTTGGACACAATAATGACTAATAGCAATCCCTTTAGTTTTGTGCTAAGTTATACAGGTAGAACACGATCAGATGCACAAAGAATTTGGGGGAGGGGGGAAGAAGACCAAAATATGATGCAAGGTTTTCTGATTCAGTATCTAATTTTTAATCTGTTTTTTTTAAAAAAAAAATTCTTATCAAAACTTACACATCTGACTGGTTTTGTTCATATAATGTTTTCATCTCTTCTAGAACATGCCTGAGTCCATCCTCCTGGAACATATAAATTTATATTGATATACATTCAGTAATTTGCATATATATATATATATACACTCACATACATACATACATATTATACATACACACACAGAGGAGACATATATTCCAAACCTGTTGTCATTGAGTTGATTCTGACTCATATTTACATATACCTCATCAGAGGTCAATAAAGCCCTACAGAAACAAGTATAAGTACATAATTCAAAATTAATGAGAAAAATAAGGCTTAAAAGGTTACTATCACAAACAAAATATTTTGGTAAATAATCCAATAGAAAAATGGGCACAGGATATGAACAGACATTTCACCGAAGACGACATTCAGATGGCTAACAA